AAAATAATCATTCATTCGTCACTCACGGTCTTCCAGTCAGCCCTGGCAGTTTTCTATGTACACTATCATGTCATCTGCAAATAATGACAGTTTTACTTCCTCCTTTCAAATTTGGATGTCTTTTATGTTTTCTTGTCTGATTGCTATGGCTAGGACTTCCAGTAGTATGTTGAATAAGAGTGGTGAAAGCAAACATCCCTGTCTTGTTCATGTTCTTAGGGGAAATGGATTTAGTTTTTGCCCATGGAGTATGATGTTGGCTGTAGACTTGTCAGATATGGCCTTTATTATGTTGAGGTATGATCCCTCCATTCCCACTTTACTGAGAGTTTTTATCAAAAAAGTGTGTTGGATTTTGTCTAATGCCTTTTCTGCATCAATTAATATGATCTTCTGATTTTTGTCTTGCAATCTGTTTATATGATGTATCACATTTATTGATTTGTGAATATTGTACCAGCCTTGCTTTCCTGGAATAATCCCACTTGGTCATGGTGTATGATCTCTTTAATATATTGCTGGATGTGATTTGCAAATATTTTGTTGAGGATTTTAGCATCTCTGTTCATCAGGGATATTGGCCTGTAATTCTCTTTCTTTGTAATGTCTTTATCTGATTTTGGAATTAGGGTAATATTGGCCTCATAAAAAGAACTTAGAAGTGTTTCATCCTTTTTCATTTTTTGGAATAGTTTGAGGGGGATGGGTGTTAGTTTTCCTTTGAATGTTTGGAAAAACTACCCTGTGAAGCCATTCAGACCAGGGCTTTTGTAGTTACCAGCCTATTCAGTTTTCTGAATCTTCCTGATTTAGTTTTGGAAGATTGCATGTTTTAAGAATACATCCAGGTTGTATAGTTTATTGAAATATAGTCATTCATAGTATTTTTTTTACACGATTCTTTGTATTTCTGTGGGGTCAGTTGTGACTTCACCTCTTTCATTTCTGATTTTTTTTATTTGGGACTCTCTCTTTTTTGTTGATGAGTTTGGCTAGAGGTTCATCAATCTTGTTTATCTTTTCAAAATTTGTTGATGAGTCTGGCTAGAGGTTCATAAATATTGTTTATCTTTTCAAAGAACCAGGTCTTGGAGGTTTTATTGATCTTATTATTATTATTATTTTTAGTCTCTGTCATTTATTTCAGCTCTGATATTTATTATTTCCTTCCTTCTACTTTGGACTTTTCTTGTTGTTTTCTTTCTAATTCTTTAAGTTGTAGGGTTAGATAGCTTATTCAAAGTTTTTTTTGTTTTTGAGGTAGGCCTGTAATGCTATGAACTACTCTCTCAGGACTGATTTCTCTGTGTCCCATAGATTTTGGGTTTTTGTGTGTTTATTTTTATTTGTTTCCAGGATGTTTTTTATTTCTTCCTTAGTCTATTTGGTAACCCATTCATGTTTAATAACATGCTACGTAGCTTCCATGTTAACACATTATTCTTAACTAAAGTGTGTAATTTACATTAGGGTTCACTCTTTGTGCTGTACATTATGTTGGTTTTGACATATGTCTAATGATATGTATTCACTATTATGTGCTACGTAGCTTCCATGTTGACACATTATTCTTAACTAAAGTGTGTATTACATTAGGGTTCACTCTTTGTGCTGTACATTATGTGGGTTTTGACATATGTCTAATGATATGTATTCACTATTACATCATTATACAAAATAGTTTTACTGCCCTAAAAATCCCTCTGTGCTCTATCTAGTCATCTTTCCTTAATCCTAAGCCTTGGCAACTGCTAATCTATTTACAATTTCCATAGTTCGGCCTTTTCCAGAATGTCATATAGTTGAAATCATACATTCAGATTGGCTTCTTTCACTTAGCAATAAGTAGTTAAGTCTTATCCATGTCTTTTCATGGCTTGAAAGCTCATTTCTTCTTATTGCTGAATAACATTTCATCATATGGATGTACCACAATTTGTTTGTCCATTTACTTATTGAGGTATGCTCCATATCAGCTCCACTTTTGTAAAACAAAAACATGGACTTTTTTAAGAGATGGAAAAACACACACCCTGCATATTTGGAGGTGAACCAATCCCCTTGCAAGGGAAAAGTATGGGGAATGAAAATTCTCTTCAGAGCTGAAAAGTTAAAGCAGGACATGCAGAAACAGGAGGGCGTTGACTGGGAATCATTCCCATGTCCTTCCAAAAAGGACACTGTGGGCAAGTGTCTCAGGAATCTGAACAAACAGGCCCATGATCATTGTGAGACCCCCAAAGTGCATCAACTTTTTGTTAAAACACCTGTACATCTGTTTTTCAGTGTGTCAAGAAGCTGTCTGGGAAGCCTTTAGGACTTTTTGGGATCGACTTCCTGGGAGTGAGGAATATCGTTACTGGATGAATTTATGTGAGGATGAAATCACAACTATATTTGAAATGGGCACAAATTTTAGTCAGTCTGTGGAACATAGAAGCTTAATTATGAAGGTAAGTATAGTAAAAAGGGAAGGAATTGCTGGACTATTGTAGGGGTTAGATATATAGCTAGGGCCTAAAGAAAAAGAGAACAGGTGGCAAATCCCTGCATCCACTCTGATTTGTTGCATTAGGCTATTTTAGTGAGCTGCCATGGGGCATGGCCTAGTCTTCGTAGCTCTAGCTCTGGCCATTATAATAAACATTGTTAATTCAGTAAAAGTCTCAGCATTGTTTATAAATGTAAATATTTAAAATAGTACTCAGCAAAGATTTAGGCTAAGAAAATAAATCTCTGAGAGTTATTAAATTCCTTAGTCTATATCACAAAGCCAGATGGGCTGGAGCTGAAATCCAGACCCAGTTCTCTTCTGAAATCCATGTTCTTTTCCTTAAACCATTGGGCCCTCCTTTCAGTCGTTACCAGTTTTACACATTTCAGTGGCTAATATGGAATGGCTGTTCAAGAAAACACACACACACACACACACACACACACACACACACGCACGCACACACGCATATCAGCATTGTCCATCTCATTGTGTTCCTGATAAGGATCAACTGATAGAGCAGCAACTATTTGTGATGTAGAGTTATTACCATAACAACAGCCTCTTGTGATGTTACCTTGGTGCCAATTCAATGCCAATAGGAATCCAAAATTAGGGGTGCAGTGAAGAAGGAAACTTTATTCAGTGTAAAACAGCTCAACTGTGATAGAGCAAGGCTGTGAAAACAGCATGGCTGTGAGACTGCTTGGGTGCCAGGTGGCCCTGCGGTCAGACCCCTCTCTGATGAGACAGCTCTGCTCTGCTCCTCCCCAGTCTGCTCCAGCAAGAGATCTTCAGTGTTTCAGCTCAGCCTGGGAAATGCACTCTTCAGTGGAAAGGAAAAGTGTGCTCCCAGAGCCAGAGGGGAGCTGACTTACTTAGACAGAAGTCCCCACCACTGGTCCTTGGTCCCTGATTGGTCTGTCCTCATGCAAATCCTTGCAGTTTGATTGGCCCAAAAGGCACTGTCCTAATTGGTTGGCAAAGAAGCTGATGGGGGGGGGGAGGGGAGGAATATAGCTGCAGAGCTCTGATTGGATGGGGAAAGCTTCAGTCCTACTGGTTGAAATAGGATTTCAGGAACTCCTGGCTCAGATGGCAGAAACACAGTGAAGGCAGGCAGTTCAGTGCAGGCTTCTGTCTGAAGTGCAGTTTGCATGAGAGGCCCTGTGTAGAAATGGCTGCTGGGCTCTCTCTCTATACTAGTACATATTTTAAAATTTGAGTCCAATTAGCCACCAGGAGCCCTTTTTAGTTGCTATCTTGTTTTTCAGGATCCACAATCAGAAAGTGTCTCTTATAAGTGGAAATTTTTGTAAGTTTAGTTTTAAAGACATGGGAAATATACTTTCAATAATTATTTAGTAGAACATGCAGACCAAGGGGGAAAATGTGTTCCCTAGGTGGCATCTTAAATAACAAGTACAAATCAGCTAAATGAGAAGGAGTTTGGAATGGACAATCTAGGCAGAGAGGACAACATGGGCCAAGTGTTTGTAGAGAAGGACTTGGCCCAATATATCAGAAGTGACAGGAGATCAGACTGGAAAAATGGATAACTTACAAGTTTGTATTTAATTCTCTAGAGAATAGGAAACCATTGAAGGGTTTTAAGTAGGTGAGTCACAGAGGCTGATTTGACAGTTTTCCATTTTAAAAAAGGCCGTTATAGTTTCTATATACTATAGGATGGAATAGAGGTTGGATGCTGCTTCAGTGCTCCAGGCCCGAGGGAACGTGGGTCCTAACTCGACCTTGAGATAAAGGAAGCACGAGAGACATGTGGGAAACAAGATTAGTCATGTCTAGTTTTGTTTGGATTAAAGTCATGGGTTGGTGAGAAAGGGAGAGGATGAAGCAGTGGTCCAAGAAGCCTCCCAGTTTCTAGCTTGGGTGATTGAACGAGAACTCAGGCAGGGAAGCAACTTTGTAGATGGTGGGTGGAGGGAGAATGAGTACACTCTCAAATGTGTTGATCTGAGCCATCTGTGAAATATGAATTACTTGATATGTAGGTATGAAGATAGGGAGAGTGGTCAGGGTTATAAATATAGCTGAAGGAATCACCAGCTTTGAGGTGGTAATTAAAACCATGAGAGTGGCTGAGATTATTCTAGGAGAATCTGTAGAGTAAGAAGAGCAGTGAGCAATTTATAAGAGTTAGAGTAATAGTCTCCTCATTTTGCAGATGAGGGAATTGAGGTCTAACACCAGATTTGCCTCTGTGGGACTTGAAACTAGGTTTTCTGACCTCCAGTTACTGGTGTTCTTTTTATCATATTGGTCTCAAAAGAAAACCACTAACTTAGAGGAAGTTTGGAGACAATTTGCTTTGGAATGCGACAGAGACATAATTCTATAATCGATAGAATTTGTCTTTTTGTTTGAATTCTGGAGAAGCAGATTTACCAGTTATTTTATCTACATGTTCATATTGTTCTAGGATGAGAGTTACTATACATATGTTAGATCACAAAATTCTTTGATTCTAAGTCCATGAAAGGTTAAGGTAAAACTCCACCAATCTCTGATTTATAGACGGTTTGGGAATGAGAAGCAGGTAAAGCCTGTTCATTTCTGTCCACGAATGGAGAGCACAGGAACTTTTGGGCACATAAACAGAGACTGCACGTAGGGGCGTTCTCAGCCACAAACAAACTTGGCATCAGTAGTACCTTGCTTCACCTATTTGTCTAATCAATGAGAATAATAACATAGATTCTATAATGTTAAGGCATTAGGCTCTCTATGCCAAAGGTTTTGTTTACAGCTTATTAACTGTCATTAACTTACTTGGGCTTTTCTTTTTCATCTTTGTTTTTCTTAGAAACTGGCATACACAAAGGAAACTGTTAGCCGGTAAGTGTCTTTTTTCCCCCTAAGTTCATGTTTGGCAACAGAGGTGTATCATACTTACTCCAAGACTCACCCCAAATTTAATGGCCACTCTCTATTTTCTTGCCAGTTCCTGCGATGACCAGGCCTGTGGGTAAGTCCCAAATGCTTTTCCTCATTGGAGGCCACTCCCCTTCCCAGACCACCACCACAGCCACTGCTCTTGTTTGCTGTCTGACCTTACCAGGAGGCAGACTTGTTGTGTCTCTTGGGTGAAAAAATAGATTTCTGGAAATGAAATATGGAATGACCTACTGTTGTTGAGCCTTTCAGGCTAATGATAAGATTGCCCTGAAATGGTGCACCTTAGTGGAGGATAGTTTATTAAAGGATGGGTGGTGGTGTGGATCACTTTACTGGGGAATGATAATAATGATTTTGAAGTATCGGAATAGCACAACCTTGATGACTCCTCTAGTGTTATGAATCTTGGCTTCATTGGTCGTTAGGTTTAGGGTTAAGGTCATTTCTGGCTCCTGAGCAGTAGCAGGAAAAATAGGTCATGGAAAGTGAGAGATTTTGAGCCTACCGGGGCTAAAGATTTCCACTTCTCTCCATACTCAGAATATCTAGATTATGCCAGCATATGGGTGAGTATTTAGCGAAGCACCGCTAGGGCATACAATCCAGGTCAGAGTCCAGAAGTTTGCCTCAAATGAAAGGGAAGGGCATTGGAAAAACCACGTCAGTGAGTCAGTGTCCAGAGATCCAGTCTTGACAGCAGAGTCCTGGCGAAAGCACAGCTGGGGTGTACGTGTGAGTGGTAGTGTGGTACACATACGTTTCAAATCAAACATGAGTAAAGAGGAGGGAAGTGGGACTCTTTGTGGTCCCACTTATTTGTACAGCTAATGTTATCACTGAGTCTATGCTGGGGCCTGAGACTGAGCCCCTACTCAGATGTGGACCATGTGGTTTCCTGAGTGTGGACTCTTCATGGCCAAAAGGCAGAGCTCAGAGCTTCTTGTGATTGCCATTGCTACACACAGGCAGTGGGCTGAATAGTCTGGTGAGTCCTGCCAGTGCCAGTAATCTTCATGGTGGTACCTGATAAAAATGATAGCATATTTTATAGATCTTATATGGCTAAGAAGTACTTAAATACTGACTGAATATGGCTCTTAACCCAAAGAAGTATTGAGGTTTTCATGTATATTTTTATTGATTTCAGAGAGGAAGGGAGAAGGAGAGATAGAAACATCAATGATGAGAGAGAATCATCGATCTTGCACTCCCCTATGATCAGAATCGAACCATAACCTCCTGGTTCAGAGGTCGACCCTCAACCACTGAGCCATACTGGCTGGGCTGCAATGTGTTGTTTTAAGCTTTCCCTACTGTCATCTGCCAAGTATCTTTAAAAAAGCAAAAAAAAAAAAAAAAAAGAAAAGAAAGTATTTCCCACCATATTCAGGACTTCACATCCATCTTACCTCTTAGAAATCTCTGCCTGTCATTGTTTCTCTCTTTCTCCCGAGTCTTCAACTTTCCCATTATTAACTCGTCCCCATTAGTATTTAAACATGCTCAAGTCTCTGCCACGTGACCTATTTTACAAATGGCCTTCCCTCCAGCTCTTGTCTCCGTTACAACCAGACATCTTTTAAAAAAAATAAATCTCTATTATTGAAAGTATTTCATATGTCCACTTTTCCCCCCTTTGACCCCCTCCAGCCTGCTCCCTTCCCCCAGGCCTTCACCGCCCTATTGTCTGTGTCCATGGGTTATGCATATTTGCATACAAGGTCTTTCAACTAGACATCTTGAAGGCAGCTCCACGTGGCTCCAGTCGCTGCTTAACCCTGCTATGGGGTCTTACCATATCCTCAATAACCAGTATAAAGCTCAGTTTAGGACATGTGCTCATTAAATAGTTGTTAAATGAATTACTGAATTTCTACCCAATCACCCAAGTTCATTATCAGACCTCTCAGTGTAAGGACTGTTCTTTGGGATTTTTTGTTGTTGTTGGGGGTGTGTGTGGGGGGAGTATCTCAATTACTTACATTTGTAGTTGAGAATGCCTATTATAGATCACAAAGGCAAATAAACATTTTTTAAAAGCAAATGTTTTATTCTGTGTGGGATGACACATGTCACTGCTTCAGTAACCCCTGTTTTCTCCTATATCGGTTTAGCACTTAGTACTTTTTGTAATGCTCTGCACATAATATTTTATTTAGTTTTCATCAATACCTATGTGAAATAGGTAGGGCAGGGAGGTGTTTCTGTTTTGGAGATGAGTCTCAGAGCAACTGAGGTATTTTTCCAAGTCATACACAAAGTTAATTATACATCTGGGACCAGCACCCAGGATTTCTGGCTCAGTGCCTTGAGTTCTGTTGTCACATGCTGATTACAATGAACGGATTTAAGAACAAAGCAAAGTATAGAAAACTGTCAAGGGGAGTAGGCATCTAGACAGGAGATTATGCTTGGCTTGTTTCACTACATTTTTACACTTCTGTTCCATGTGGCTGTGATATTTTCTGACATAATCCCATCTGAATTCCACTGACATGATTAGGCAGCAGCAGCGAGGAATAAATGATGTGCTGGATGAGCTGAGGAAATGAGACCACAGGGGGTTGTTTGCTGTTGGTATTAAACTAAAGGTCTTAGCTGAACAACTTCAAATTTGTGGTTTGGCTTGGAAATGAAGAAGCATTTCTGTCTCCAAACTCAACATGACTCTGTGTTCTAGTTCTGTTGTGAGTGACACCTCAGCAGATCCCTTCAGGAGGCCTACCTAATGAGACTGTGTGAAAGGGTTCTTGTTGTTAAGTGTTCTTTACTGTCTTTTGAAAACAGGGAGGGGAGGAGGAGGGATTAAGTGTTGGAGTGTTAGGCAGATAATTTCAATTATGGAGAGTTGTCTACTTACCATCATTAAAGCAATGTTATTTTGAATTCAGTAGTTTTTCTGAAGTAAGCACACTTCTCCATCTGATTGCTTACATAGAGAATTAGCATAAATTTGATTTTGATGTGGGGGACAATTTGACCAACTCCAGGTGAGGTCTGGTTTCTCTGTTGTCATCCCAACTTCCTGTTCTAATTACTGTGTTGTGCTTTGGTTGCTTTGCCTTACTTTGACCTCTTTGCTCTTTATACCTGGTGGCTTATGGCTCTCCAGCTCTCACTGGGTTTCCCTTCCTTTTTCTGGGGCCGTATACTCTTTGACTTTTGGGTTGTTTAGCTTATCTATTTTTGTTATTATTTATTTATTTATTTATTTAAGGCTGTTTAGTTTAGGTAGGCCACTGACGTTAGGATAAGGTGAAACCATGTTGGTTGCCCTTCTAGAGAATATGGGCCACGTGAAGGCCGTGTTGTAAGGAATTAAGGTGGGTAAGAGTGAGGTTTCTGGAATCAAATGGGTCTGTTTTACATTACAGCTCTTCCCCTGGCCAGCTTTGTCACCTGAGCAAATTCTTAACCACTTCTAGCATTAGTTTCCTCATCTGTATAAATGGGGATACTAATATCTTCCTCTTAAGATTGTTGCGAGTTAACGAAGATAAACTACTTAGCACAGTGCTTGACCTGTAATGAGGGCTTAGGAAATTTAGTTGTAATCATTCTTGCTGTTATTATTATTGAAAAGGGAACTGGATACAGTTAGAAAGTTCAGGTGTGGCTTTGGGTTATATTGCATTATTTGGTGACCCTGGGAAAATGGCTTTACCCATGTGGGCCTCATTTTTTCATGTATCAAGTGAGGGCATAGGATGGGTTCTGCCTTGTGGACAATTGATAGACCCTATTCATAACTAATTATGTTAATGTTTGTTTCAAATGCATCTGAATCTCATTTTTTTTAGCTCTACTTCCTGTAACCCAAGAAGACTCTTTAAAATTTTTTTTTATTGATTTTTAGAGAGAGAGGAAAGAAAAGGGAGAGAAAAACATCAATGTTAGAGTGAAACATCAATTGGCTGCCTATTGCACGTCCCCTACTGGGGATTGATTCCACAACCCGGCATGTACCCTGACTGGGAATCAAACCGGCAACCTTTCAATACACAGGATGACACCCAAACAACTGAACCACATCAACATGGGTGCAAAAAGCCTTTTGCCCACTAGTGTGGCTCAGTGGTTGAGCGTCAACCTATGAACCAGGAGTACTCAGTCTGGGCACATGCTTGGGTTGTGGGCTCGATCCCAAGTAGGGGGCATGCAAGAGGCTGATGATTTTCATCATTGATGTTTCTCTCTCTCTCTCCCTCTCCCATCTTCTCTCTGAAATCAATAAAAAGAAAGAAAAAAGGAAAGAAGCTTCTTGATGCTTCCTCAGCTCATCACACATCATAATGACTTATCCAGATGTCATATTCCTTTAGATCAGCGGTTCTCAACCTGTGGGTCGCGACCCCTTTGGCGGTCGAACGACCCTTTCACAGGGGTCGCCTAAGACCATCCTGCATATCAGATATTTACATTACGATTCATAACAGTAGCAACATTACAGTTATGAAGTAGCAATGAAAATAATTTTATGGTTGGGTCACAACATGAGGAACTGTATTTAAAGGGCCAGAAGGTTGAGAACCACTGCTTTAGATCCTTCTAGATGACAGCTCACTTAGTAAGCATTGTCCTACAAATGCATATGAATAACCAATAGTGATAGGTTGGGTGTAATAGTTCAAAATATTATCTTTTTAGATAGTATTTTTAAAAGCCAGAAGAATCATGCTTTTTGTTGTTGTTGTTGTTTTGCTTTGTTTTAATCTGTGTTTCTCAAATTTTCTACTAAAGCCTGAAGGTTTAGGGATTATAGCCTTTGTTGACTCCCCACTCCAGTTCCAGGCATGAAATGCCTTTGAATGATCATGTTTTATCTTAATATTTATTTAAACTTTATATAATCCATACTATAGCCACATTTAAAAAATACTAAAATATTTTAAATTATTTATCAGTTGTTACTTAGCTCTCCAACTGCCTATGCATCAAGTAAAATTGGTGCCTGAAGATGTGTGCCATGTTTATCTGGTGGCTTTGAGTCCCCTCCCCCCAATAAGCTAATTTGGAGCAGCAGGGCAATACAAAGGAGTTGTTCTAAAGATGGGACTCATGGCATATTGGCAAGTCTGTGAGGGGAACATTTTTGACTGTGATTGAATCGCCTGAGGAGGCTGACTTGTGTAAAGTTGAATAGAGTTTTCAATTGCTATGAATTGAAAATTGGTGTTCTCACCATCCAGCTCCTTTGAAAAGGGTAATGAAATAGCCCATTCCCTTAGGACATGCACACAAACTTTAAAGTTCTAAAACTTCCCCAAATTACTGTAATTTAATTTTTATATTTTTTGAGTATATAAATTTGGACTCGCAGAAACCTATTTTCTTTCCTTCAGAGTGGGGATCTCTGCTTTCAGTTGCATGTTGAAGGACAGCTAGGAGACCTAAAGCCTACTAGCAGTGTGGCCTACAGCAGCCATTTCTCCAAGCTCGACTCTTTATAGAAAGTGATTTTATGATTTCTACGATCTCTCAAATGAGATGAAAGTTGTGCTTGTATGTTCCCCTTAGAAGCTAGTACTTTTCAGTCTGTACTAATTGTATTTATAATCATTTATTTGGTATCTATTTTCTAGAAGACTGTAACTTTCATAGACCATGGGTGTTTTGTTAACAACTATATGACACATGCCTCCTACACTGTTTTGCCAATAGTATTTATTTATTCATTCAAAAAGATCTATTTAAGCCCAGCTGGTGTGGCTCAATGGTTGAGCATTGACCTATGAACCAGAAGGTCATGGTTCGATTCCCGGTTGGGGCACATGTCTGGGTTGCGGGCTTGGTCCCCAGTGTGGGGCTTGCAGGAGGCAGCCAATCAATGATTCTCTCTCATCTTTGATATTTCTTTTTTTTTTAAATATATTTTATTGATTTTTTACAGAGAGGAAGGGAGAGAGATAGAGAGTTAGAAACATCAATGAGAGAGAAACATCGATCAGCTGCCTCCTGCACATCTCCCACTGGGGATGTGCCCGCAACCCAGGTACATGCCCTCGACCGGAATCGAACCTGGGACCTTTCAGTCTGCAGGCCGACGCTCTATCCACTGAGCCAAACCGGTTCCGGCACATCTTTGATATTTCTATCTCTCTCTCCCTCTCCTTTCCTCTCTGAAATCAATAAAAATATATTAAAAAATCTATTTAATGTCTACTAAATAGCAGATACTATTTAGGCTGGAGATACAGCAAGAACATGGCAGGTAAAGTCCTTGATCTCAAGGAGTTTAGATCCTTAAGGCAGTTCTTTCCCTGTGGTGATGGAAATGCTCTTTACTGTGCTGTCCAATGTGAAGCCATTAACCACATGGGACTATTGAGCACTTGAAATGTGATTAGTGTGAATGAGGAACTGAATTTTAAACTTTATTCAGTTTTAGTTAATTTAAATTGCCACATATGTCCAGTAACTACCATATTAGACAATGCCATCCTAGAAGATTAAGGGATTGGAGACAGAAATAAAAAAATCCTATCTACACTAATAAAAGAGAAACATGGTAATTAGCGTACGACCGCTACCCTTTTCATTGGCTAATCAGTGAGTATATGCAAATTAACTGTCAGCCAAGATGGCGGCCGGCAGCCAGGCACTGAAGCGAGCACGAGGCTTGCTTGCTGCAGACTCCAACGTTCCCCGCCTCACTTGCCGGCCTCTCAGCTGCAACTCTAAGCAACTAT